AACAATGCCAGGCATTTGTCGATAATTTACACCCGCTATTGCGAAAACTCATTACAATTCCGTATTTAAAAAAAAAATATCTTTAAATGATGTTTACTTTTCTAACATCATTAAAAGTTTTAAGAAGCATATTTCTGCTATGCATTATTATTCGCCTACTCCAACCCTCTTCGCGCCACTAAACAACATAATTTTTTACTATAAACATGTCTTTAAAATTATCAAATCTAAATGATCATTTAATTAAGGAATGAATTGGTAAATAATTAACGGAGTTCAATGACGGCTGATTTCTACGCTAGAGAAATACTTTAGATGTCATGTGTTTTGATATTCCTAAAAATACAACAAAACCTTTATATACCATTTTAAATAAATTTATATTAACGGACTTTGAAAAACTGATATCTTCATTAAAAATTTAGCAAAATTTTGCCTTTTTTATACTATATTATCGTAAAAGCGTAAAACAAATAATAATTTTATCTAAAGAAGAATCTCTTAACCGTTTTCACGCCTGTAACAGCCTTGAGTGTCTTTTTATTGAAATTTTACTAATCTAATCAAAATATACGCCCACTCTCCTTTTCGCAAAGTAAAAACAAAAATATATTTTCAATTTTTTTTTTAGAGAAAATCTTAACCCATCTCCATTTTTCAAAATTAAATTTTCACGTGTGTAAAATAATTGGGTTTTAATATTCATGAGTATCCTTATGTTGTACCCACGTTTTGTTAACGCAATTGATTTCCATAATTGGTATACATATTATGTTTATTTGTAAAAAGAGAATGTAACATGATACAGCTCTTTTTCAAAACTGTAATATCACTGGATTCGAAGACATCACCAGTCACTGAACACAGAACTAACACATTTTGAAAATTAAAAAACAAAACAACGAAAAAAAATTATTTAAATAGAGCAGTCCAATTAACCAAAAAAAAAAACTGGTCATAATTATCAACGGTCAGCTTCTCTTTCAATACCAGGTCCAGGAGTTGGAATATCTGCGAAGCATTTTCGCCGAGGATGGAATCAAGAGACAGCAACTAGAGTGCAGATGAAAAATGCAGTCAGCTTTAAAAAAAATTTCCTCGCTTCTATTAAGACACCCAATAATAAAGATGTAGATCAGAGCCGGACTTTTTAAAATTTTTTAAAATATTTTATTTTTAAATTCCAAACCTTACTTAAACCAGCGTCAGACCTGGGCTCTGTATAAAAGTCTTTGAAATGGCTTCTTTTTCAGGTGGTCACAGTACACAATAGATTACCTGGTGCCGTGTTATTAAATCTCTCTCGGCATTGTACTGACACCCCCACCACCCCACCCCCCCACACACACTCCATATTTTGGCGTAGTAAGAAAGCCCCCCCCCCCCGCACACGGAGATTGTAATAACTGCCCAAAAGGCCCATGACGAATGCTTGTCGCGTCGTCGTGGGCCAGCACGTCCCTGGTATACGCAACAATTTTAAACAAATATAACAATTAATTATTATTATTTCCCCGACTCTTCGATTTTGCGACTGAAATCAAGTGGCGCTCACGGCACGTGCCGTACCCTCGATGGCGTAGATAAGGTTAGTGCCGTCCAGGGCGGGCCGATAACTTTGACGCCCCCCTTTCAACGATAAAATTCTGCAGTTTTCCGAAAATGCCGCCTCTCCATAAAAGGAAAAACAAAAGGCGTGGATCCCCCACGCATACCCCTTCCTACGCCACTGCATATCCTGCTACACCCTCGCTACTTTTCACTACAGATTAATAGTAGCCTGTCATTTAAGTACGAGTTTAAGTCATAGGCCATTTTAGACCCCATGCATGTATAAATTAGGGCTGATGTTAATCTTACTGTCGAGGACATCATGCTAGTGCTTTAAGTATACTAACCATCAGTGTTTCTTTCAGAAATGTTCCCCCGGGGGCACTTCAGATTTTTCGGGGGGGGGGGGTGGGGCAGTGCCAGCAATTCCGGTTGATTTATTGTTGGGAATATTTTTGCTCCGGGGGGCCCTTGGCTTTCCCGGGGGGGGGGGGGGGAGATATAGCTGAAAGAAACCCTGCTAACCATTAGTATAAATTGATTATTCTACTTAGATTTGACTAGAATAGTTTTAAAAACCTTTTGAGAAAATACTTTTTCTTTCTTTAAGTTTTTAAAAATTTTGAATACTTTTTTTTAAATCTACGGGCGCGTTTTTAGATTACATGGCAATAAGGATGATTTTAAAAACAAAATACGACATACAATTCAAATTTCAGCATCCATAAATATTTAAATTAAGTTTTCAATTGTGTACTTATTACTTATTAACAAAATGACAAATGAAAAAAAAATCATTTCATTAAAATGCAATGACTAAACGCAGTGAAATCTTTAAAATATCATTTGTACTGTTTTAAATCCCCATTTTGAAATGTTCTTGATGTTATATCAGATCTCGTTAAATAGCGAAACCTTGCTTTCTTTTTAGTTAACGATCTCAACAATGAACTGAAACAAACAAGTTTACATCGATGAATTTGGAAAGCAGTTGCAGAAATATGACTCAATACACGTGACAAATACTTTTATATTATAATATATTTATAGCGTAACTTTGTGAGTAATCTTGATTCAGCTGTGAACTGCATTAAATAGACATTTATAATTTATTAACATATAGGCCTAGTCTACCCTAAGTCCAAAAAATTAAAGAAAACTAAAAATAAAAAGGCTTTCACTTTACTTTCTAAATTTTTATTTTTAGGACTAATAATATAAGTTTATAAGCTTACCAGATTTTCTGGATGTCAAGTACGGACACAGAGTAAGCTAACTAGATTTGTTGAATGCCATGTATGGACACAGACACAGACAGCCCACACTCACAGCTACTAATTTCAATTTAAAGTATGAAGGCCAATAAGGACAAAGATAACAAAGCTGCAGAGTCCTGCACTTTAACTTCAAACATTTTTTCAATTACAATTCAATAGAGTCATCTAGTCTACTTTTGTTACTAGTACTTTTGTTACTCGTCTCTCTTCTGACTCCTTCCACTACTGGCCAATGATTTGATCATGAGAAACACAATAGTAGACTAAACTGACTAAAGACCGAAATTCAGTTTTCACCTTTCAGGCAACTTGACCTTTCACTAATTACCCAGAGCTGTACTGAAATGCTAATCAAAGCATCATATTCAAATTCAAAGCTCAACCAGAAAGTTAGGAAGATTAAATAAGTATCAGTGTGAAGAAAACCTATATATAGGTACTCAAACTTAACACAGTTAACATTGGCAGCAGTCCTATTCAGTCTGAGAAATACCACTCGAAGAAATAGATTCATTTACTTACCTTAGATGTGTCCTTAGTAAGGACAGTGGCACATAAGAACCACTATACAGAAAATGAGTGGAACATTTAATGCACAAAATGAGATATGCAATGAAATAAGGATAAAAACAAATCCACAAATATTCAAATCAAATGTTAAGTCTATTTCCTTCTCTAAGAGTATGGAGGGAAAAAACAACACCTCAGCACCAGGATTGTACAGGTTTTTATCATAAGAGGTTTGTTCAAGTTCCTAAAAAATAAAATGATTTGAAAAGATCTCAGATAAGATCATACGGGGAAATATTGGAGAGGGATCCTGTGGAGCAGGACTTACATATTTTGGAAATGAAGATGGATTGACAATATAAAGAGGAAACCATAATTAAATTTAAATATTAATTGACAATATCTGTCATGCATACCACAGGGCATTAAAGAAGAGAGGATTCCCGCCTGAAGAAGGGACCTGGACAGAGCAAGTGAGAGAAATGAACTAAAAAATAAGCTGAGAGGAGAGGTAAATGGAAAGAAAATGTGAATGGCCTATGCAACACTAGAACATTTCATGCCGAAGTATTAGGAATTTTTTTTAATTTTGAGAAGTATGCATTACAGGGAAGTTGACTGGAATTTGTTTGACATGATTGTTCTAAACTGATACAAACCTCACTTACTTTACACATCCATGAGCTTTGAATAAAGGCGATCGATGAAGAACTTAATTTACTCCAAGTAAGGCTTTTTTAAAAAAAAGTTCAAATGTTTGCTGTTGTTTCAGATTGCTCCTAACCAAAGCCAAAATCAGCCATACAGAATACCACTATGGATGGTAATATGTATAATTACGGTATGTTATCAAAATTTACTTTTAAATATCCTTGGAATTTCTGTAAAAGTTGTAATGATTTATCTGGTTGAAGTTACACACCGTTGCTTGTCATTTGTTGCAAGGATGAAAAATACTTAATTAATTTATTTAGCTACCAGTACTTATAAACGACAGCTCCACTTTTTTAACTTCCTTGTTTTGTCTTTGAATAAGTATTTGTTTACACTTGAGATTCATATAATAGTATTGAGGGATATGAATTATCCTATGGTAATGAGGGGGAGAGACTTTTTCAATCTTCAGTCCCACTTTGCCTTTATTTAATCTCTCGCCTACTTATGTTCTGTCACATTCCTCTTGCTGTCCTCTCAGATTTTACATTGCAGTTAACTGTTACTTTATTTTATAATTCATATTGCTTTTACTGTTGTTTGCTGAAGAAGGCTTCTTGCCGGCACGTGCGTTGTTTTGTTGCATCCTTTTGTTCCCCAGGTTTTCTCATACTTTGTTTCGCAAATTTCCTTTTACCTATCCCGATTGCAGTCTCTCCCTTATTACCATAGAATAATTCACACCCCGTCAGTCAATTGGATCGTGAATTTTGTTTTCTGAAACGAGTACATCCTGCATTTCATTTTTTAAGATACTTTTTCGGTGTTTTTTTTTTTTTTTACATTTTGAGACAAGATTTTCTCAAGGATACAATTAAATGCACATAAAAGAAAAATGATTGTTATTTAATAATTATTTTTTCTTCATATATTTTGTTATTGCAAGTTTACATATTATTACTGAGTGAATGTTAAATTTTTTCCCTCTTCATTTTACCAGGTGGAAATCTGTGGAATGGCTACACTGAAGGTTTCCAGCCCCCCAGCCTAGATCTACAAAGTTACCTTCCCACAAGTAGAGAGCCTTTCCAACGAGAGCAAAGTAAAAACCCGCTGATCCCTTCACCGACTTCATACATGTTTTTTAACTATCCAGAGGAAACAGCCCACCCCCACTATCCCCACGAACATGTGACCAACATCAACAGGAACCAGTGGCCTGCGCCACCGTGGTCGAGGACAAAAGCCAAACCTGACCCGACTCCGCAGTTGAATGGACACAGACCGGCGGATAAGATTTTCAAAAAAGAAGGCTTGATGGGTATGCCAGTGGTCACTTCCTGCTCTTCAAATATACCGCCCCCTGGTGGATTTTGTACCCCTGATTCGTCAGAAAGAATGTTGGCCGATCTTCACACCTTTGACGCGCCAAATAACTGCGCTAGCATCTCTGACTCGCCTGTATCCCATTTCCGCGCAGCATCTGGGAATGGCTTGAAAAGAAATACAGCAGCCAGAAAAAATCCGTCCCCAAGGAAAAGAAAAGACAAAAGCAAAAAGGCAGAGAAAAACATAAAAAAGCGAACGAGAGATGAAGAGAAATGGGCCAGAAACGTACGAAAAAAAGCCAGATCGAAAGGAGAGAGCTATGTGTCGGTTCAGGGGAAGGTTGTGCCTCCAAGGTCTGTGAGACCGGTGGATTGTTCAAAGTGCAAGTTTAACTGCCCAACAAGGGTTTCAGACGAGGAGAGAGAAAAACTTTTCAGGCACTATTGGAAGCTGGAAAATTTTAAGGATAAAGTTGATTACATTGCAGGCTGCGTTCATGAGTTTGCTCCCCTTAGACCTGTCAGCGGTCGAAGATCTTTCTCCAGGAGGTACATGCTGAAGGTGAATGGGAAAGAAGAGAGGGTGTGTAAGGAGTTTTTTGTGTCAACATTTGATATAAGCGAGAGCACCATTGTGACATACATGGGTAAAAAACGGAAAGGCCCCGATGCCATAGCTGACCTTCGAGGCAAACAGACGCCCAGTAACAAAACTCCAGAAACAACCGTGAGGTCTATCAGGGAACATATTTTGTCTCAGACCGGACTGCAAGGGGAATTTTCACGATCTCACAGTGACGATATCAGAAATGTGAAAAAGCTCTACAGACACTATCAAACCGAGTGTGAGCTTGAAAACATGAAACCTGCAAGTATTTCTGTCTACAGGAAAGTGTACTCAGACATGCACAAAGACAAAAGTGACACACCTGTTGAACTGCCGCCTGATAATGTCTTGATGCAGACCCCTAAAAAGAAAGCCAAGCCTAGTGACAATAAGGCCGTTGTTTCAGCAGATGAAGATTCAGAAGCATTTGATGCAAGCCACAGCTCCCTGCCGGAACATCACCCCTCTGTCTCACTGGCCAACACGCCCCCCAGCACAAATCAGATTTCAGGTACAGCCTCACCGTTTGATCTGGGTCTCATTCCCAGCACATGCTCTGGAGATCCTCAGCACATGATGACCGCGTCGGTTACAGATAAGAGACTGTGCAGTTTGAATATTCCTCAAAACTTCGCTCACCCTCAGCAACACCAGCAGCACACCAACAACCACCAGGCACAGCATTTCCTACCCCAGCAGCAGCAGCAGCATAATGGGAAGGTTTTGTATGGAAGTCTTTATCCTACGCCTGTCTGCCACGAAAGGGGGCCAATAAGTAGTTTTATGCCATCTGTTTGGGACTCTAATCGGACGGCTCATTCCTCTGGTCCTGGTGACCCCAATGTTAATTACTCTTCCTCTGGGTACCCTAGTCATAATCACCTTCAACCATCTTCATCTGCATTGTCATCGTCTTTATTTAACTACAAGATTTCATCCATGTCAACCCATTCACATACCTTGAACTCAGAAACTGACATGAAAAATTATCAACATACACAACCAGCAACTGCTTCAGCTGCAAAAACTAATACGGAAACCAAGAAAAGTAGTGAAAGCAAAATTAGAAAATCTAGGGACAGCAAAATTAAGAAAGAAACTAAGAAACGAACTCGTAACGAAGACCAGTGGGGGAGAAATGTGAGGAAAAGGTTAAGGTTCAAAGGTGAAGCTTACACATCTGTAAGGGGAAAGTTGGTGGAGGCCAAGCGTGTGAAAGAAGTTGATTGCTCAAAATGTAAATTTAAATGTACTACAAGAGTGACAGATGAGCAACGAGAAACACTGAATCAATATTACTGGGGACTAGATACTTACAAGAAGAAAATTGAGTTCTTGAACAAGTATGTGGAGACGTACACTCCCAAGCGGAAAATGACTGGTCGTCGGGCATTTTCCAGGAAGTACACGTTTGACATTGATGACAAGGAGGAGCGGGTGTGTAAAGATTTCTTCAAAGCGACTCTGCACATTAGTGAGAGTACTATAGCGACCGCCTTAGAAAAAAGCAGGAAAGGTCCGGAGGCGATAGTTGACATGAGAGGCAAGCATAAGCCTGTCAATAAGACCACAGAAGAAACCCTCCAGAGCATACGTGAACTCATCATATACTTAACAGGCATGCGTCCCCACAAAACCAGCAACAACAGTCGCCTTGGATCGGAATATCGGGATGTAAACAGGCTGTACCAGGTTTACAAATATGATTGTGAGAAAAAGTCCAAAAAAGTGGCCAGCTTGGGTATTTTCAGAAATGTCCTAGTCAAGGAATTCGGCATCAAGAGTGTTAAGTTAAAAAATGATTCTGAGAATGGTTTTTCAGCTGAAAAAGGTAGTAATGCAGCTCCCTGCATTGGCAGCCATCCATTAGGTGTGACAGATCCCGTACCTGTAGATACATGGTTGACTGTTCCTCAGGTTGGAGCAAATAAGAAAATGCACAGACACAGTGATCCTGATGCATCCCATTATCCAATAGGTCAGTTATCCAATCTTTGATCTGGATAAAATCTTATCCATCTCATGATAAATTCATTTTATTCTTGTTGAAAATTTGTAACTAGCATTATGATGCTGACAACAAAATTTTTTTTATATTTTTTCAGTTGACAGACAACATATATTGATGATGTATAATATATTTAAAGTAAATGTCAAAATGAGGGTACATAACAGTAAGCTTTATGAAAATTTTGTGTTATTTCATTAATTAGTTTTGAGATCAATGAATATTAACTAATTTAAATTAAAATTTGAGATTACATGTAGTTACTTTATCTTTTGCCAATGAATCGCTCTTCTGGACTAGTCCTAAGTACATCCTTGCCTTGCACGTTACAATACGGTTTTCTGAAGAAGATTATTTATTTATGTTTACACAATCTTCTTTATCATTTTAGGCGGTTTTCGTTGTTGTAAATCTATGGTTTTTAATGTTTATGCTTCATGACATGTTCGATACTCAGGGGTCAACATTAATTTATACACAAACCTGTATTGATGCTTTTGTTTATTTTTGTCAGTAGTTTCAGAAGTCACTTTATTATTTGTTAAAACTATATGTTTGTAATGTACCATGCCTGGCATATTAATGAATAATAACTCAATTTTTTTCTTAAGTGCATAATTATTACCTTTTCTTTCCTCATTCTTCCTTTGGGTTGTGGTGTTACTTCTTAAATCAACACTTCTGGAAAGGGGGGGGGGGGTGTTAACCATGTTTTCAGTGGTATTTTGCAATAATTTTTTGAAAATTTGTAAATTAAATTAATTTTTCATTTATTTTCAAATTTTTTTAATATTGTTTTATAATTAATTATATACAAGGGTACTTATTAATAATACTCTTGTATTCCTGTGATGTGAGGTCTCATTTACAGTACCGGTAGTATGTTTATACACAATTCACATTTTTTTTTTTAGCAATTGTGCTTAATTGTAGTTTGTATTTTGGGAGTACTTACAAAATGTATTTGTTTGTTTTGTTCTTAGTGATATTTTAATGATAACTTTTAATTTAAATACTGTACTTTTCTATGACCTAATACTTTACTACAGATTGAATTGTGAATCATTTCTTTTAAGTTATTTTATTCTGAATAAGCTTTATTAATTACACATTTTCTTTCCTTTCTTTAATAATATTATAATTATAATCAGGCATAGCATGCTTTTGAAATTGTACAAAAACAGTTAGCTAACACAAGGTGAATATGACCTTGTGTTTTTAAGCATGAATTTTGGGTGACATTATGGAACACTACACATTTTTCTTGGGCTAATTGTAATAAAAGATTACAGCATTACGTTAGCTTCAATATTTGGACACCTTCATGGTTTTAGTTTTAAGAAGTGGTTTTGCTCCTTGTTGTTGGTTAAGTCTGCTTGTCTCATGTGAAGTGGAAGATGGCTGGGATGAATTCACTTTTTAACCATCGTTTTCATTACTGTACCAGTTTTTTTCTGAGGATCTTACTTTTTTCTGTCTTATTCATCAGTTACACACACCCATTATGCATTGTGTCATTTTTTAAAATAATTACTGGGTGACAGTTGAGCCTTTAGATTAGATGCATAACCTATAATGTTCAACAACACCGATGATGATGTTAAGCTGAATATTGTTACAGACCCAAGTAACATTTCCATTTACTCTATTTTAGACAAAACGTGCTGAATTTATTTGCTCAGATTTTAAAAAATATGTGGAACTACAAAATAAATATTTTATTAGTGTCTTGAATTAGTATCAGGAAGAATGATAAAATATTTAATTTAAATGGAATTTGACTGAAATATGTACAACTCCTACATTCCTTAACAATAACCAAATTATAACAAAGTCACTAATATTTTTTTATGTTTTTGTAATATTGTGAAAGGCTTTGACTTGAGTCATGTGAACAGTTCCCATTGTCATGTCTTATTCAAGTGGTTTGAAAAAACTTGTACTTCATGATTTTATTGAAACTAGGAGTCAGAACAGCAATTTGTACATTTTAATATTAACGGTACTTTTTTATTTAATTGGACACTAAAATTGTTATTAAATTAATTTGTTTAATAATGGGTCTAATTGTTATTATTTCTAGAAGTCTAGATTATTTGTTGAATTAACTATTTCATTGGTTTTAAATATTTTGAAGTTTTATTTTTAAGGGTGAGTAAATCCCTGCTTTCTCACATCATTCATTCAAATTCACTCAGGAGACTTACAATAACTTACATTAAAAAGAAAAAGTGCTACAATTATTATAATTAATATGACTTTATTACATCGAATTGAAAAAATAAAGATCAAACTGTTAATCTAAACACCTCAGGTTTTTCAACATATGGTTTGTCAAATACAACAGGGGGTTTCATGGGTCGTATTTTCCTGCCATGGTATCCAGTCTTTCTCTGCCACCAGCCACTGTGTGGTCGCTTACCCCGCCGTCGGTTCTCACCTGCTGTCTTCATTTTTTTTGTTTTATGGTGCTCAGGGTTGGAGACACGTCCAATGGTCACCATGCACTCCTGAGATACAATGATCTCTCGCTTAGAGGGCATGCGTATGACACATTTATCTCCCAGCCTACGCAGGTAAACGCCTGACGTCCCCGCTGCCAGTGCTACTTTCCCTCCTTCTCCAGGAAGTCTTTCAATATTATGTACAATGGTTCCAAGTGGTAATGAACCGACTGGATGGGCGTCGCCTTCTGAAGCTCGAACTAATGGAACCCAAAAGAATTGAATGAGAATAATTACATTTAAAAAAAATATAAATCCTGAGTTACATAAGAAAGAAATTTAATTTAGAGTTAACCAGTACCCAATGTTAAATAAATAAACAAATAATTTAGAAATCAACAAATACATTTTATAAGTATAAGCTTTAATTTCACTGCATCTTTTTTATTTATAATATATCTTATGATAAAAATGTATATGTACCTGGCATAGAAGAGACCACTCCAGATGTTTTTATTAAGTCTCCTTCTTTCATGTTTTCAGAGGCTATGATGTACCTTTTTTTGTTACCTCCAGCAACCACCGCAATAAAAGCAGAACGACAAGGGTCTTTCATCACTGTATTGACACGTTCTATCAGTGGTTCACCATCTTTTGGACCTACTCTCTTGGAGTCGATCATTCTGTACAACAGCTTGTCTCCCCCACCAATCCTATGAACCCAAATTTTACCTAAAATACAATTTAAAACACAATAGTCAACACATTTTGCTGTCAATATATTATGCACACGTTTTAATATTTTAATAAAAGGTGTTGAACCTCGTTTATACAAAGCATTTCTGAAGTCCTATAATTTTTTAAAAATGTTAGCAGTAAAAAAAATCATTCGGTAAAACATGGTCAAAATTATATTTACTTACTCACAAAATATCCATTCATCCACATCCACATTTTATTACAATAATTAGAAAAGGTTTAAAAAGTATAATATATAACGTACCATCAGGCCCTCTTCCACCTGTCTTAGCTGTTTTCAGGGGTGTTAATGTATATTTGTTAAAATCTACACTTTTCTCAAATCTAAACCGACCAATCTTTATATTTTTTGGTACTCGAGTATTAAAGTTTTTCAAGCAGTTGGCAGTCTCATGAATTTCCCTGATGAATTCACAAATAAATCACATAATTTTTTTTTTTAAAAACATGAAAAATTTTATGTAACATTATTGAAAAGTCATTTTAGGTCATGCTCAATGATTGCAGTTTAAAATAATATGAGTCAATCTAACATGTGCATACCGACATATTGTATATGATGTTTAGTTTTTGAAAATCATCTTAATTTGTGAGACATTGCTGATAAAACCATGTATGTTAACCTATTCTCATTTCTACCAGGCTGCATATTTTAACAGATATATTTTTGTTTTAAGACTGATTTTGGGGAAATTGATTGCAGTGGCTGTTTCATACACCAGTAAAGACACCCTAGGCAAGAAAAGGGGGCAGATTAATGCTTAATGTTGGCCACAGAAGTTAAACGCTTAAACATAATGACTAGTACTCACCTTCTACATGTTTGATTAACAGAATAGGACAGCTGATTAACTGTTAGACAACGTAGGCTTTGAGCCAGCTTGGTAATGTTCATAGCCATGAAACTGAAGATGATAAAAAAATGTAATTTGATGTTAATGACTCTAAATGGATTACATGTACCAGTATTCATCTATAAAAAAATACAATGAATGCATACTTTGCATTTGACTTAGAAAACTTATTGTTTGATTTATTAACTAAAAATTTAGTTCTGAATTTGATAAATTAGAAAAATGAGGTACCGGTAATATGCTTCAGGTTTGTGTTTAACCTTATGAATGACAACAAAAATCTGTTACCAAAGCAAAGGAGCTATTTGAGACTGTAGGAGTTGGTTAAAATGTGACAAGTACACAGTAAAACATTTTAGCTAGAGGCCTACATTAATTCCCAGTTAGAGGGTCATTTTCCAGAACTGGCAAAAGCTAGAATCAAGCGTCATTACCTGGAACTTACATCTGCAGGATTGAAGGGGTTAACCCAATTAGGCAATAGATTTTTTTTTAAATACTGTAATATTAAAAATAAAAACAGACTAAAATAGATGGAATGTTATACAGGCTTCTTTTATTGCAGACATCATACAAGTTTAATAGAAAGAATTGTTGGATTAATTATTCTAGGTATAAAAACAGGGGGAAGCTATAATTTGATGGTTTTTTCAGCAGATATGAGGGATAAATTTGCTACGGTAGAACCCGCTATGTCGACGGCCTCAGGGTTGCAAAAAAGCATTTAGATAACTGAAAACCAATATGGCGGCAATATATTAACATGTGCTTGAAATTTCTTTATGTACATGATGTGCGTTAATTCTTGCGCAATGACTATATAGTTTATATAAAGCAACGCATCCCCTTATTACTAAAATGCTATTTAGGGACTACTTATTTTGAGCTTTCAACTTTGGAACATGACTATTTAATTAAAGCTTTCCCTGACCAATGATTTAATAGCTTTTGCACACGGCAAACTCTTATGAATGAAACTCTGACGTTGTACCATGGCATAGCCATTATGCAAGTGACCGTGAATGGCTACCCATGACAATGTTTTGCACACAGCAAATTATGATAATTTATAATATGGACTCTATCGGGTTTTTAAACCTCGAATTAAAACATATTTATTTAAATTACTTCTAGGTTCATTCTAAAACACAAGTCCTGTTTTTTGAGAAATAAATAATTATTTTTAATTATGAAAAACTTGTTTATTTATTGTTTGCTATTTCTTCTTGCAGAGTTCAAAAGCCAGCGATTGGTCGTGGGAATCGAGATAACCGAGTTTAAGTGGCAAATTTGGCCGCCTTTTGCGCTCAAGATATCAAGGTTCGGCAACATAAGAGAATTGACATAACCGAGGAGAAAATGCTAAGACAAAGAGATAATTTTGCGGTTCAACTTCAAAAACGTTGACATAACAGGGTTGGAGAGATAACCGAGGTTGAGATAAGCATGTTCGACTGTATTTTGATATTGTCTTGTTGGCAGTGTGGTAATAATTTCCCATCTTCTTATTACAAAGTTATTAATGAACTTAATACAGTTTCTGTCTACAGTGTTGAAAGTGAACTCAGAAGGAAAAAAGATTTACAAACTAATTCTATTTTTATCCTATATTTATAAAATTTAGCACACTTTGATCCCTGTTTATACCAAATTGTACTAAGGCCAGTTAGAAAGCATAAATCTCAGGTGCACAGTGCTCTCCTTACCAAAGGGCATTTATTCTTTAAATACCTGGCTGTAATTGCATTATTAATGAATGAGGAGCACTTATTATCCAGTGTCAGTGTGCTCAAATTTATTTCACAAGTTGAATGTATTAAAATAATTATGTCTTAATAAATACTGCATATGTTAATTATATACATGTTCAAATCTCATCTCCATTTAGACTTGAGATTCATTTTAACTTGGCCCCTTTTCAGTTAATTTGCTTTTAAACCAACATATTCCATGCCATAAAATAGAGTTTACAGTTTAAAATGCAACTGGCTAATCAGATTCATCAGTTTCTTTCTTATTTGTGCCAGCCTCTCAAGTAACAACATATATTCTTTGCAGATATGGTGCCCACTTCCTTAGCAGAAATTTTTTTTCTTCACATCTTTACTACTAATGGCCCTCTCTTCATATGAAGCCTGTGAAGTGTTTTTTTTTTTTTGGAAGTAGAGATAAATCCATGCATAGCTATTGTGGTTTTGATTTTGATGTTCCTCTTAAGTAATGTAGGGATTTTGTATTGTGTTACAAATAGAATGGTGTCACTAAATCCTGTGCGTTGCTAAGGAATAATTTTTTTTCTTTTTATCTTCATCTCATTCTGATCCTCGGGCATGTTGAGTGCGTATGCGACCAATGCATTTCCTGCAGCAATACCAAAAAACATCATCAGCGGTGTTGGCAACATCATATTATGATCTTCCTACAAAGCATCTTCTTGATCTCAAAAAGCATTGTCCTCACTTTTAACAAAATGCAGATGAACAATCTTATCTACTAGTTGTGCACAGGAGGCCTTTTATTTTTTACTACATGCATGCAAAAGACACAAATTTAATTTTTAAATAAAAGAAATCTAAATTTTGAAGAAAAAAAACATGTACGCACACCTGGGGTAGGTACTTGGGTAAATCAGTTTTCTGCTAGTGTCAAATCATTGCAGATTTACGTGCCCCTAGTTCAACTTTTTTGTAAACTTCAAAATTTAAATATTGGGAAAAAATTTGATTTACTGACATTTCTTTGTTTAACATGTGTGATACATTATTTTAAAGAAAATTGGATGCTAAACAATACTGCATCTTCTGATTTTAAATGAAGAATTTTTTTGGAAATATATATTGATCAGATATAAATGATTTGCAATGGTATCTTCATTAATTTCTTAAATGACTTCAAATTACTACTCTTTTTAACATCTCTGCCTAGTTTCTATTTGGATCACTTTTATCTTTTCCTATATATGTCTCAATTAACAGAGTTATCCCAAAATAATTCACTAAAAATTCATAACTTTCTTTAGAATTAAAATACAACCATAAACACCATAGCGCAGAGAGCGTAAATTTACCGCTATAACCCAACTAGCTCTTTAAGCTATAACTTAAACTTCCTTTTAAAATTTTCCCCAAGAAAGGAAAAATTGAATTTTGAAAAACAATCAACAGCACAAAAACACCATGTCTACCTACACTCAACTGTAGCCTACAACTGATCTTCCTCTGTACACTAGATTACAGATGGATACTTCTTGTGACAAAATCATGAATCAAATTCAGGAAGATTGAAGGATGTTTGAACGGAATTTGTAAATAAAAAATAAATGGTACCGTGATCTTGCAGTTCAGGTGCATATATTATTTCTGATCGAATTTCTTCTAATCGCATGTAAACTTACGTGTATTCTTCATTAAATTAAATCCAGGCAGTGATAGTTAACTACTACTGAATTATACAGCGCTTATTTTCGTTTTATTTTATTTCTAAAGCATCTTTGAACATTCCCCAACCTTCCATAGCTCCATTTGTTTTGTATTTTTTCACTCTGTTGCCAGATTTTTTATTACTTATTAGTTGGTATGCTAAACAAAATTTTCCAATTGTAGGCATGTTCACAAAAAGAATGAAATACTGTGGGGGGAGAGAAAGGGGGTGTTGCTTGAACTTAATTAGATGTTCCGTTATTTTATAGGAGCCCGAAATTCTTACATTCTTTTTTTTTTCTTATATGGGGTGTATAAATATTATCCAAACAAAGGCTCCTGCATGGGCATGGGTGAGTGGAACAAGATCAAACTTAAAACACGTACATTTGATTATCTGTATTCAAAATCCGGTACTGAAGTTTAAACTCATAGTTTTAATTTTTCCTAAAACTAGCCAATATACCCGCCAATTTTATATAAATTTATTTTGTGAACAAGCTTTTAGTTTGAAAAGTTAAGCATCAATAATAATTTTGGTATAATTTAATATAAATCTAATTTCTTGTTTCATTTTTTGTGAATAAGCTTTCAGTTGAAAAATTGCAATCAGGCAAGTAGGGTGGATAAAAAAATCCAACAAGAAAATGGAGAGATGGTTTACTCTATGGGCTATGTACCAATGTGGGGCTAGGGTTGCCAGGTCTGCTTCCAAAATATAGCGGATAGAAAGGGGAGGGGGGGGGGGGGAAAGTTAAATTATATATTTTTTCAGAGAATCAAGTTCAATGGCTTAGGGGGGGGGGGGGGGGGCGTGGTGATAAGAAAAAAAAGGGGGGGGAGGGGGGGGGGGGGGGGGGGGGGTAAAGTTAAATTATATATTTTTTCAGAGAATCAAGTTCAATGGCTTTTCGATCTTTGTCTCATTCTAACTTATGAAAAAAAAAAAGACACAACATGATAATCCTATTATCCTTATTCTCTTAGATTAGACTGTACAACTTTAGATTACGTACCATTTCATCATAAAGCTTTTGTCACTTTTGAATTTAAAAAATGTCCACTATTTTGTGAAAAAAAAATAGTCAAAATAATGTGAAAAAAGCGGACCGTCCGCTCAAATAGTGGACACCTGGCAACCTTCATGGGGGCTATAAAAATCAATAAAAATAAAAGTTAGTGCTGTACAGATTTATTGTTAGTGTTAAATAAAACTGTCTGGACTAAATTTTATAAAGAATACACATAATTTTACACGCGATAATAGAAAATTTGATCAGAAATAATATAGGCACCTGAACTTCAAGATTACCAAATAGATAAAATTATGGGAGGAAACAAAAATAAAGGCTGGTGTCAAATTTTACCTCAGGGATGTCTTTTGAGGGTTAAATAGAGTGGGCCTACCTATGACTATTTTATAATTAAGAGCAAGAAGACACCGGTCACAGTGGATGAGGTGGAAAGTGACCAGCAAGCTAGTCTGGAATTCACTTGACACTTAATTTAAAGTTGATTTCCTTACTTTAATTAATTTTAAATAAAATAGCCTATGCTATAATTAAAAATAATCGGCCAAAAACTTACACTTGATGGGACTTTCAAATGTTTCCTGATATACTTCAGTTAAAACTGGAAGATAATCAATATTGGGCTAAAAACATGTGTTTAAACAGCAGGTTTTTTTTTATTTATTAAAGCATTTATGACTATGGATACCCTTCATTTATTCTGGACGTCGCCATTTTTCATTTATGGATGCCAGTTTTTTTTAAAACATAAGTGATTGACAAAATGATGATTTGGTAAATATATATTTTTTACGTTAAGGGCATGATTCTCAGGTTAAACTATGGAAAAAAAGTGAAACAAAAAAATCAAATTTGAAACTTTTGTTCTTGTGTTTTGTTTTTTCTCGTATTGGGTGACACAACTGGCAATTTGTACTAGAACTTTAGTATACCCAGAAAGTGAAGAGTAGTCATTTTTTCAGGAACATAACAAAAGTCAATTTTTGTCTGACAGAAGTCTGAGATATAAGTCCAAATAAATCCAAAAAGGCCTACCTGATATTTATTTAACTATGGTAAATCTATTCGTCGTTAAAGATATTTTAACTAATATTTTAGCCCTTAACCCATCTATTAAGACTAAAACTACTAAAAGATAACTAAAAATACACTGTAATTACAGGACATCAGTTGAATTGCTCAGGTCAGGTGAGTACACTACACTCACTTGTTGACCTCAATTAAACTTTCCGAAGACTTTTTAAGAGACAGACACTGATTAAAGTAAGGAAAGTAACACTTGTCAGAAGGCTAAGTAGAGTTGTGAGACTCTAGAAAGAAAAGTGAAGGGCTAAACATAATATTATAATAATAAAAATAATAATGTTTAAAATATAAAAAAGTCAAGAATTTTCATTAACTCCCTTTTATATCCCTAAATTTATGGACTCCCCACTCTGAGTGATATTCCCCTTATAACTATATTTGTGGGTTCATACGAAATGAGCTTCTCAAACCCATCCTAATCCTATTACTACCTGTTTTAAGATATTTATATTAGGGACCATCCATAAATAACGTCTAGGGGGCGGGGGTCAGATTTGTGTGTCAGGGGGAGGGGGGTTTTAACTATGAATTGAGAGAATCAGTACAGTTGTACAGGAAAACTGGCCTCTGATCAAGCTAAGGACACCACGGAGAAGGAGAATCCGGATATAGTTACAATGATGATGATGGTCATGAGAATTTTATGGCTAAATGTGGACACGGGAGTCCTAGAATTAGGACTACCACGTGAAGTGGAATGGAACACACACAAAAAATTTGACGGGGGGTAGATCTTAGTAAATGCACTAGGGCAGGGATTCTTAAACTTTTTTGCAGTGTTACAGGCCCACTTTGTTTAAAATAATCCTCCCCAACTGTATAAATTATATTGTAATAACATTAAAAATAATTAAACAATTTAGTGATCATAGTTTTATTTCTTTAATAGACATTTTATAAACAAGGGAAAAAATTACCAATACAAGCAATGCGCCAACAAAATTCTCCAGAAAAACATTTTTTGCTGCTAATGAAAATGCATAAAAACTGATTTTTTAAAAAAAAGCAGCAACAATTAGCAATGGCAGCAAATAAATTTTCTGGTCTTCCACACCTTAGGGCTCTGGAGGTACTTTTACCCCTGTCTAAGAACCACTGTTCTAGTGAAATGTTTCTGACACAGGTGCAGTAATTTGATATCTATGGGAGGTGAATTTCTTAATGGTTTGTAAAATTTGCGTGACGTCATTTATGGATGGCACCTAATACAAGTTAAATAAACATCAACAAATTCACTATAATTTAGTAAATTAAACTTACAATGTTAGCGGTTTAAAAGAATTCCGAATATTATTTCCCCTACTTGCGACCCCACAGTCTGTTTGGCATAGTGAGTATCAAAGAATATATATCACATTGTAGCTTTATTAATTGAGAACCTGTAGTTCGTCAACTAAATAGGACTAATTATGTCACAAATTATGTCACAATTGTGTCACAAAAAAAGGGATATCATGGACTAAAGTTGTCACTAGAGTAAATATTACAGTAACCTAAAAATCTGTGGGAGCTGCTATATTTAGTGAGTTTATTTGTAAAAACCCAAGGCAACAGTATAATGATAAAGACCAAATATTAGCATTTGAAAATAAATTAGATTTCTTAGAATCACAGATATTTAGGGGACAGTGGTGTTATATATATTAGATATAAGGGCTGTCTATATTATTGCAGACCGTAAGAAAATATGAACATAACATTCTGCAGAGATGCGCCCCCCTCCCTATAAGATACACATCCTTAGGCAAAATATTCCAAAGTAACAATTAACACTCCCAAGTGCATGTATAATATATGGATGGCCCCCGACTTTTTTTCTCAGCAAAATTTGCAATTTGAAGGGTTAATTCTGTCATCAACTTTATAGTGAGCATTTACTAATATGAGAACAATTCTCCCCTCACCCATCAGTGTGTACATAATATATATATGGATGCCCCTAACACTAAGTCTCATCATAAATTGGGATTTAAATTGCTAAGTCAAGTCATTGTTAAAAATTGTAAATTGAGTAGTTCCATTCAATTTAAAGAAGAAAAACTTGGACAATGGAAATCTACTGCTGTATTTGTTTACCCTTTAGACTTTATGAAGCTATTAGCTGCATATTATAATATGTTTTAAGTATTCTTTTTTTTTCTAAAAAAATTCATAACTTACATAAAGTTTTCATAATTAAACTAATATTTTACATTATTCTTTAACATTTTCCCATAATGGATTAAGATGTAGTATTATTATAAAACTGAGTTTCATGGTACCTAAAATTCCTGAGGCTTTTTCGACCTCAAATTAATGTTTTAAAGATTAATTAAATAAAGATTTTTTTCAGAATTAAAAAATTTTAGATGTTGAAAAAAAAACAAAAAAAACATGATGTCACAAATTTTTGACCCACCCTCTCCCTTTCACAAAGTGTCACAAATTCTCAACCCCCTTCCCCCCCCTCCCCCTTGAGCATGGCGTAATCTGCGAACAACCCCTAACATGTCAGCTTAGTTCAGCCTCAGGCAGGAGAGTTAATAAAAAGTATCACCATCAAACTACGTTATAGAATTTATTGTCATTGTATTATTAGAATTGTCTCTAATGGGCTGATTACTTATGAAGTTAAAAAATTTTTTATTAAAAATGCCACAACAACCTCTGAATTTATATTAAGATTAAGATCGACCCAACTGAACTCACATTCACAATGATCCATAAGCTTTATTAAAATATTTTTTAAGGTTCTGTCTTAATACTTCAATTGAATCTTTCTCACTTATTGTATGACGGCTTTAAACAAAGGTCCTATATTACAGGTCTGAAATTCTTCCAGATGTACTGCATTCTCCATGAGTCGTAAAGAAAAGGGATATCATTTGCAAAAAAGCAATTCAAGCACTAACTCTGAAAATGGAAATGCTTCCCCGGAATCAGTTGAGTCTATAGACTTTTCAGAGACTAGAAATATATCCAAGTTTCATACCAGCACCTCGGCATCTATAAATCCAAAGAGTGGCGTAAATTACCGTTTGAATCCTGAGCAAGAACCTCTGCTGCATCAGCAGGGAGCAGTTGATGCAGCAGACAAAAAGAAAAAACTAAAATTACCTCTCAAGAACTTATCTTGTCCTTCATTTCATGACAATTTGGACAGGAAAGCTCGTAATAAACACATGACCTCTTTCAGCCATCACAGCAAAAGTCACAGTGGAATTATGTCCGTTACTGATATCGAAGTAACCATGAATGAAGAAGTAACAAGGCAGCATGCCCAGACTCGACAAATACCAGAGCAAGAAAATACTTCGTGGCCCATACCTGCATGCACCTTGATCTCATGCGATGAAAATTCATGTCTCTGGCACAGATGTATTCTGAAATTACCTCAGCATGTTAAGTGGCAGGACCATATTTTAACGGTATCTTTAGAGAGGAATTCAACAGAATCATTTGGTTTCAATCACAAAGCAAAGCAACATGTAGGTATATTTAATAGTTTTGTATTCCTGATAACTCCATAGAATGTGCTGCAATAGAATGTAAAACACTCATATGGGGCTAAACAAAATTTACCCTTCCCCCCCTCCCCCCCCCCCTTTTTTTTTTTCATAACACGGTGCTTTCTTATTGTTATTGAAGGTCAACAAGTTTAAGTCACATTTGCATGCTCAGTACAATAATATTTTGTGTAGTTTTTTTTTTGCACATATTTTTCGTATTATGTAACCGTGATTGAAAGCAGCTCAAACATAATGTATTCTAATGTATTCTTTTTTTCAGCAAGGTAAGAATGACCTCTACATCCTAGTTGCAAAAGTGGACAAAGATGGGAAGGCTGCACGCAATGGTCTTCGTGTGGGAGATCTGATATTATCTGTCAATCAAACTCCGCTTCAGTCCAAGGACAAGGTGATTGGTTAAATTTTTGCACTGATGCTAAACAAAAGAGATATCTTATGCTTTTGTGAGATTCTTCTCCTAGTATTTGCTTTTTGAAATTTTGCACACAAAAAAGATGCAAGCAAACATTGCACAAAAATATGCAAATTATGAGTTCTTAACAAATATGCAAATTGGGGTTGTCCATTAATTACGTCAACAATTTTTCAGCAATTTTTGATTTCCCCCCTGTCAACAACTGTCAAACTTTCAATGACCGCCCTCTATTTAATTATGACAACATTTTTCTAAACATCCCCCCCCCCACCCGGTTTCTTTGAGTTGATCTATTTTAATGACACTAAGTTGTAGGTAAAACATTTCATTACATGTTAAAAATATGCAAATTGGGGTTGTCCATTAATTACCTCAACAATTTTTCAGCAATTTTTGCTTTCCCCCCTGTCAACAACTGTCAAACTTTCAATGACCGCCCTCTATTTAATTATGACAACATTTTTCTAAACATCCCCCCCCCCCCACCCGGTTTCTTTGAGTTGATCTATTTTAATGACACTAAGTTGTAGGTAAAACATTTCATTACATGTTTTGCTTGCTAATCAACAAGTTAAAAAGTTTTTTTACACTTAAATTTTATAATGCAGAATCAATTGAAAGTTTGTTAAAGACCAAATATCATTGTTTGCGGTTTAAATATGATTATTATCAATAAAGCTGACAATTATAGTATTGTTTTTTAGCTGCTATCATCTTCC